CAGCAGACATTTTTGACTTGTCAACACAGGTGTTACACATCATAATAATAACAGCTGTAGAGCTGGCACAGCTAGTGCATTAATGATTGGTGTATCAACAGAAAAATAATTGGCAACAGTTCTAATAATCAATTAACTGTTTAGAGGAATAGTTTGGGAAACATGGTTAGCATAAATGGGGTAAACTGCTTCCAAGCAACTTTCTGTAAAACCACATCTTTTCATTTTTACGTTTTTTTTTTACACTTTGTACTGATTAAACAAACATGATGTATCATGTTAGTTAGTGAACTTTAAAGGTGCTAGTGGGTGGGATTGTACATTTAATAGTCTTTATGCCAAGCTAAGCATATCCTGGCTGTAGCTTTATATTCAATGGACAGATATATGAGTGCTATCAATCTTCTCAAGCAAGAAAATAAGCCTCATGTCAAACTATTAACATGAGCTACTCAGTCCAAGCTTTCCAATCGTGAGGATTTTCTGCTTTTCTATCGTATGTGGTAGTAAAGATCTTTGGGACTGTTGGTGAAACAAACAAGACATTTAAAGACATCACTTTGGGTTCTTGGTAATGTTTCACAGTTTTCTGACATTTTATACCTAAACAATTAATCAGTTAATTGAGAAAATATTATTTGAAGCTTTAAATGGCTGGCTTACATTGAGCCTTTTTCAGAGCTCTTGCTGTTGATGAGTCACTCAAATTGCCTTAATGAACCAGAGCCATCATAAATGGTGTTAGATACAGCTGTGCTTTTCCCTTGAGTGCCCACTGTGAGAAAGGTATATTGTTGGTACGGTATTTATTGGAATAAAAGCTGACATTTATTATTTCTTTTATTAGGTTTATTTGACAGGGACTACATATAGTAAACACACATTTCAGTACTTGAAATCTGATGCATTATACTGAGGTATAGCTAAGAGGCATTTTTCAACCCCAGTCCACGGGGATAGTCAGTAATGACTGCTGTGTTTTGTTTTAAGGGGTTCATCAATATATAAAATAGACAGCTTTATTCTTAGAATACATGGACACCATCTATTACCAGTTTGTATATAAAATACAGTTGAAGATTAGATCAGTTTACGTGCTTCTCTTCATTTGTACTCCAAAGGTTACACAACTGTGTGAAATGCTTACTGCTCCACCTCTTTCATATGTCAGATGATGCCTTGGGCTACAGTATATGAAATTTTTATATGATCACCCTTATTAGTTTCCTGAAGGCTCTAACCTTTGATTTATTTCCCCACCTCACACGTCACTCTTAGATGGAGATGTTGAACCAGCCTCTCTCCTCCGCAGTCAGTGTCACCCTGAGCTCAGGGTGCTTTTCCACTTTAATAAGTCGAGTTTCCTCCCAGCTTTAAGTTCATCTTGCTGTCTTCCTATTTGTGATTAAATCACTCGGGGAGATATTTTATTTTTAATCCACCATATATAAACTCAGACTACCCGCTGTATATTTCTCTTTTCTGTCCTGTCGGTCAGAAGATGTTGTGGGATTTTGTTTTATTGGATTTCAGTCACTGGAAACCTTCTCAGAATTTAGAATCCAGATCTATTACATGCATGCATTAAGCTTATGCAAGAGCATAATGTACAATCCAATATTTCCGAAAAATCTGAAGTTGTTACATATCCTAAATATGAAAAGGACATGACAGATAATGATGACAATAGTAATTTTGCCTGTCCCTTCTCTCCATCTTTAAATTCAGACAAAAGTTACAGTGGACTGCTTGTCTGGTGCTACCTGAAATCAGTTTTAATGTTTGTAGTGATTGATCCTAAACTCTCCATGCTCTGTCCCTTCAGGTTCCCTCAATAAATTACAAAAACTACAAAAAGGCCTTCAAAAATGTTTTTTGTCTCTGAAAATGACCATTTATAATTGGGCTGCAAACGATGTTGAAGGTAAAATTAAAACCAAACGGCAACACCAGTCCAGTGCTTCAGCTGAACATTTAAACAAGCCTACCGCTACTGTGTCTATAGCACAGTGCAATATCTTAAAGCTTGATGAATTTAGATTTCTATTTAAACTCACAGTAACTGATTTTTTGGCCACTTGAGGGCAGGTGTAAACTCAACACTGACTTATGATTATGTTTTAACTTGAAAAAGTTGTCTATCTAAGCATCCAGCAGACACAGAGCAACATCAGCTTTCTTTTGAAGCTGCGTTTGTGCACACTAGATTAATATATGTTCAATATTCAGTCTCTTTTAGCTCTATCTTTGGTCTACACCTATAAAATATCTGGCTCTTTAACTGCTGAATGCTCTACTGTGTTCAACTGCAGTGTGTACAGTGCATTTTTAGAGCTTTTAAACTTATAAAAAGCTGCTGTGGCCACAAATGCTGATGATGAGTGTGAACAAAAACAGAGAAGTTCCAGGCAGTAAAACCAAAACAGTGAGCTAGAAGATGTTATAAAGCTCCACAGAGCTGAGGGGGGGACTGCAATTGGGTTTTCACTACAAGTGACACTTTACATATTTTTGATCCACTGTTAATGTATTGATTAAAACCGCTTTAACATCATTTCCCTGCAACAGGTAATAGAATTTGACGACGGGTCCGGCTCGGTCCTGAGGATCCAGCCACTGAGGACCCCGAGAGACGAGGCTATTTACGAATGTCACGCCTCCAACTCTGCAGGAGAGATCACTGCCTCCACTAGACTAAGTGTGCTACGAGGTCAGTGTGAACTCTCATGTTTCTGTTGATCTCTCCAATAATTGCTATTTAATTTTGTCTTTGTTTTTTTTAAATACAGTCTTCATACATACATGTGTGTTCTGTGTATCACCTGAATGTGACAGTAACTGAGAAAGCAAACACACATTATTGTTCCTTATCTGTAAGAACACACCTGTAATTTAATGTTTGCATCCAGAAGCTATACTGTATATACAGGTATATCTAGGTTCATTTAACATAGACTGATCTCCTCATAAAATTCATAAAAATGGTAAAGTAGAAGGTCTTTAGTTTAAGCTCATAACTGTAGGTGGGGATGTTAGGACTGGCTAAGGTATAATCCAGTTAAAATCGAGTTTTATACATCGTTGAGTTAAATGTGATCTTTGTTTTGATCGATGTCCTTGTAACTTAAACAAAAAACTGTTTATGCAAGAATTTGAGACTTGGAGGTATGTGTCATCGGATGTAGGTTTATATGAAAGTGTAAGCCTGGGTTCACTGCGGTAGACGGTTTTGTTAGTGTTAGCATGAGTCCATTAATGCAGATAGTGATGTTACTGTTAGTGGAGTCCATTAGGAGAACATTATGTACCGGTAGTTTGAAGCTCAAGAGTGTCTTAGTGAGTGAAGCTGCTCGAGTGTGGATAATCACATCGCCTGCCTTTACAGTACATGCTCATGGGGAAAGGACGTGCAGCCTATTGTTCTACCATCTCATCTCTCTCTCTTTGCCTCTTTCTTTTGTCTCTCTGAGATAATAACAGTCTGCAGTTCTTCTTGTCCACTCTTTTCTCTTTCTGTCTCGTCTGTCTGTGTTTTTTTCATCTCCCCAAGTTCACTCGCTTGTACTTTCTGTCTTTTTATACACTTTCCTCCTTTTCTCTCCTTCTCTCTCTCTCTATGTCTCTCCATACACTCTTAGGTCCACTACACAGCAACCTCTAAATTATTCACACCAGAACACTCTTTGCATCTTCTGTGCTGTTCCGCTCCATCCACCCAGAATTTTTCCCATCTCACATGGTTGTCTTTGTTCGTATGTGCGTGTGTTCCTGTGTGAGTGCATGCAGGCATGCTCAGTTGCGCGTGTACATCTGTATGCTCTTGCTTATGTGTCTCTGCGTCTATTTTTGATTTTTCTGCTTCCCTTGATGGAAGCTATCTGCTCGTGTCTAATCTTTAGTTTTATCAAGAACATAACCACTCATGCATGCACACACAGTGGCAAACACACACACACACAAATGTATCCTCAATCTACGACAGTCAGTCTTTATGTAGTGATTAGCCTCTTTCTACTCCTCTGAGGAGTCATTGTGTTGTGGATGAATAAGAGGCCACCTGGGAGCGGCTAATAGCCCCTGATAGACTGTCAGTCCAAATGTCAGTTACAAAGTACACACACACGTGGGCATACCAACGCACACACAGGTTCACCAAGACACACGCACACACACAGTCTTGTCAGTCATGTCTCCTTGTCTCCTCTGGCTCTGTAACGACACAGCTCCAGTGACTGACTGACTAACTGTCTGACAGGAGGGATCCAGTGTTAAGGTCAGCCGGCTTAATTACTGAGGATTAAAACCAAGCTAATTGAAATCTTGGCTTCCAGTAAATGGCTGTGATTGGCAATGGCTGAAATAATAATGAACTCGAGAGCAATTATATGCTTTAGGATCCAGTGTACAGTCATATACTGTATAATTCATGGTTTAGTAAAAGTTGAGCATGTGTCTGTTTAAATTCATCCGTATGCGTCTAAGACAAAGTTAAAAAAAAAAAAGTAAATTGGTTAGATGTTCACTAATTGCATGGGCAACTCTGTTATTCTACAACTTAGGTCTGCCACTAGAGTGCTTGCTAAGATGGAACTATCAAGTCTGATGGGGAAAGAAACACGAGCAGTCAGATGGTCAGACAGTTTGTAAACAAGCCAGCAGTTTAGTTTCTAGACCACTTTGTCTGTAGGCACAGCTGAAAGTGAGTGCTCCAGCGATGTTGGTAGTCTAATTTTAAGATAAACTAATATACACAATCTATTGCAACCCCATGGTTAGGGGTACGTCACATTTTATCTACCTTCATATACTCACAGTGTGGTTGTGACATAAGATTGTGATGCAGAAACAAAACAAACTGGCCCCACAAAACCTTTAAAAAATGTACCGTGTAGGAATCAGAAAGTATTGCAGTAGTACGGGGCTGTTTTGCATTCGATTGCAATATATTACATAGGTGTTAATTTTATTTCATTTATCACTTACAGTGTTTATGCCCTGAGTCAGTTATGAATGACAGAAACAGGTTTGTTTGCAGGTGCAGATAGTACACTTGGGCCTCTGATACAGCAGCCAGCTCATGCTTTAGTTCCCATGATTGTAGGACCAGACTTGATTTGCACTCGTCCAGATTTGCAGATGACAAACCCAGTGAGCGATGTGTGTGGATTTCATTTTGGGTCTTATATAAAGAGGACAGTGTTCGCACAGCAGTTCCCATGATTGTGAGACCGGGCTTTTCTATGAGCTGTGAAATTATCTGGATCTCTCACAGTGGAAACGCTGGAGTGGGAGCACATCCAAATGAAACAGTGGTATGTGTGGAAGGCTCCGTCAACAAGGGAGTGTAGGGTTACGCATCTGCTCTGACCTCAGGGGGTTCTTAACTGTTCAGCAGCACGCACACAAACACACACACACACACCACACACACACACACACACACACACACACACCTAACACACACTCTGGAGCAGCTTTGTCCCAAACACACTTTGGTGTTACTTACACCTGTCCCCATGATGGATGGTGGAGAGGCCAAGTAATGTGCATGTGTTAATGCGTGTGTGCGTATGTGCATCAGCCCGTTCAATCAGCCTCAAACACTTTTACTTGTATCCCTTCACACCTTGTCAGCTTTAAATTAAAGAAGCTTGTGTTTTGTTTTTGTCTGCACAAGAAGGCGTTTATATATGTGTGTGTGTGTGTGTGTGTGTGTGTGTGTGTATGTTCTCGCCTAGTATGTGCGCATACCTGTGCTTTAGGTTGCCTACGTTTGCAGGTTCTTGCACACGCCTCTACCGACACACATCTGCAACACAAGGGTTTTTTTTGCATGTGTGAGTGGTTGTAGAAGAGGGGCAGAGAGAGATGTCTCAGAGAGTAGCATTCGAAATGTGCGTCCTCAGTGTTCAGTGTCCCACCTCAGGTAGATGAAATAGAATGCATTATTCCTGCCTACGAGGGGCTGGCTTTGAAGTAAGCGTTTGCATAATGAAAGCGGAGAGAATCAGGATTGTTATGCTGTATGGGTCCCTTGTGCTCTCTCTCCCTTTCTGTCTGTCTTTCCCTTGCTCTCTCCCGTGTTCTCTCTCTCTGTTTTCCTTTCTGTCACCCTTTCTTTGTCTCACTGTATTCCATCCCATGCTACTCTTTCTCTTTTTTTTGCACTCTTGCCCTCTTTCACCACCCGCCCACACACAAGACACACTCGTACACACAAACACCTTCTCATCTTGTTCCCTTGGTTTATTATGTCCATGTTTCCATTTGTCGGGCGTTGTGATTGATTGAAACCGGAGCTGTTAAAAGGCCACACACGCACTCGCGAAGCTAGTGTCTCACGACCCGTCGGCTATGGTTCGATGGGCTAGTACCAGAATTAGCATCTCCTTGGCAAGGTTCAGCGCTAGGATTTCCCGTTAATGAGGCTCTGTGTGGTTGAGAGGGATAAAGTCACAAGGGATTCTGGGTAAAAAAAAAAAAAAAAAAAATGGGGGGGGAAATGAAAATAGACTGCCTTCTAGATCAAATACAACGCAAACACATGCAGGAACACACACTCCTTGCTCATCTGTCTTTTTTCACCATGCCTATCTTTATCCACTTTATTATGGATGACTCATGAATCTGACATTTTACCTCGCAGTTTTCAAAGTGCAGCCTTGAAAAAAGTTAAGAATTTGTTTTTAAAAACGGATTTGCACTGAACCTTCTTGATTCCAAGGGTGAATACAGTATCTTTTCAGTTTGAGTTCAGGCGTCTTTGATCCCCCACCTCCTTGAAGCTTTGTCCCCTCCTCTCACGTAAATCTCCCACTTTGGCTGAATGAAGTTGGCCCACTGCCTTTGATTTCCTTTATCGCAGTGGAACGACTCCTCATGTTTGATTTAATTGCCTCGGATGTCTATGAATTCACATGTGATTTGCCATCCCAAATGGGGTGCGAGTCCCAGTGGATGTGTCTTTATTGGACTTGCCAATTTGATTCATGCAAAGGGAGCGAGGGTTGCATGCAATAGACTGAGCTGGACGAAAAGTGTAGCTCAACTGCCACTGATTCCCAGCAGAATAGAGAGCATTTGATTTCCAATTGATTCTTATTCGAAGAGTGGTTGCTTAAAGCTTTAGTGAGATAGTTTGTCAGGTGAAATTAAATGTTACTTATTCTATTTGACCTCAGTATTGGATTCTTCAAAAATCTTGCCCCCAGGCTCAAGTCTGATGCAAAAATATTTTGACTACAAATTTGACTTTTGCATTTAACCTGCCAGTTTTCCTTAAAACCTTTACCCACTGGACTCAACTTGCTTGGTGTCAATTCAGGGTTTATCTCTTCTAAGTCTGAGGCATCATGTTTTGTCTTATATTGAAACACAGTCTGCGTGCTTTATAGTGGGTATCAAATGCATGACTCAGAGGCAGACAGGATGAATTAATGGAATACATTTTGGAGCTTTCATTAGCTTTCTTGTAAGAGTTAGCTAAGAAATTGATACCACTCTCATACGTGGCTGCCGCTTAGCTTAGCTTAGCATAACAGGAAACAGGAGGAAACAGCTAACACCTCTAAAGCTCACAAATTAACACTGTATATCTCATTTGCTTTACACAAACCAAAGTGACGACAGTGTGAATGAATGAGTTGTAACAAGATACCCACAGTTACTGTAATAAAAAGAATATCTCCACCAAGCATAACTTTGCATTCAACATAAAAGTATTCACTTAAAGGAATGGGAGCTTTTACAAGGCTTTTATCACAGAGTTGGCTGAATACTAATTAGAAAATGGGGGGAAAATAACTTTCCGCCTTGTTCTAATAAATTGAATTAAATGTCATTTGGTTTCTTCTGTTATATCAGTCACTGCTTGTTGAGCTTATTAAACTCACTGCTGCATTGGAATATAGCCTTAATTTTCATTGGGGGAAAAAACACTATACAAGCCACCCAAAACCAATCAAATAAAAAGAACATAAATACAATCAACAAATGGTAACACTAATAATAATGCAAGTCCTATTAACAACTGGTTTAAATCATGAGAAGGTGAAGTTGGTCAGACATTTTCATGTACCAGGCTTTGCGTAAAATTCCCCTGAGGATGAAGCTGAAGGGTGTTTCTACCGTAGAGGGTCCTGCTGCAGTTACATACACTCTACTGTAACAGTGTCCGCTTTTATATATTGAATAGTGTTTAAAAAACATCCTGTTTAAAATCAAATTAACACAGTTGAAACCCAACAGGTGATATAGATGAAGGTGTATTGTATTGTATTGATTGGACCGTGGGGGTTACGTCAGACAAAAAAAGGTTGGGAACCACTGCACTATGCTATCAATGTTAAGATGTGAGTATTGTCCAGCTCTGTTTGACTTGTGTATTTGATTTTTCCAGAGGACCAGCTGCCCTCTGGGTTCCCCACCATAGACATGGGTCCCCAGCTGAAAGTGGTTGAGCGTTCTCGGACCGCCACCATGCTCTGTGCTGCTAGCGGCAACCCTGACCCAGAAATTACCTGGTTCAAGGATTTCCTGCCGGTCAACACGTCCAACAACAACGGACGAATCAAGCAGCTCCGCTCAGGTAACCAATCCTTTTATCCCTCCAATTCCTTCCCTCCCTCCTCAATCCCAGCTTTTATTTCCACCTGAAGGTTTCTTTCCCTCCCACTTTGCTTTTAGCCCTTTTTCAATATCCACCCCCTCTTATGCTCTCTCCCTGCCCCCACCCCCACCCAATTTTTTATTTTCTGTTCCTACAAAGCTTCTGTTATTCTTGCCCTCGTTCACCCCTTTTCTTATTGCTACTCCTCCTTCCGTGGTTACTGGCTGTGTTTCTCAGCTGCCCCTTCTCTGCTGCTGCTGTGGTATGAGTTGACTGTGTGTGCGGTTGCCAACTTTTCTAAACTCTTCAAGGCAAAAAATGAACTCCCAACTTTTCTTCGCTTTTCTCCAAACACTCGGAGGTCTTCCTGTGCAAACCATCATCACGAAGGGTTGAATTTTTCTCTTTACGAAATATTAGGAAATATCTGTAACAACATGCATCAGTGTGTAGCATGTCTCCAGTCATATCTCAACAAATCTGTCTGACTGACAGAATTTGCAGGGTAAACCCAGGTGATGATGGCATGTACTGAGGAACTGGCCTCTCCAAGATGGCTCACTGCTGTGACTAAACAATCAAATAACCTTTTTTTTCCTCTTATTTCATGGAAAGTGTCTTGCGTGGGTGTGAAATATGACTCCCAGACATTGTATCCATGTTAACTGAGAAATGACATTCACAGAATTGCTTAAATTCAAAGACAAATTACTTAAAAAACACACAGACCAAATTCTGTTCCACTCAATCCATCTCAATCAGCTTTTCAATAGCCACAGTAGTGTGTAAAATCCCAACTTGTCGAGCAAAATCCCCTCCCTCCTTAGCCCTCCTTCTGTTTCCAGGGACCAAGTCTGGGCCCAAAATCCCTTTCTTGTGATTGGACACCCAACTCTCTGGCTTCTTTATGGATAACAACCTCTTTGCTTCTGTCCCTGTTTTTTTTAAGTCTTTGGCTCAATCCCCCAGTGCCCCGCTCAGACTCCCTTTTTGACCTTATTTTACGAAACAATTACAAATTAAAATGATTTACAAAATTGTTACAACTAAAAATGTCAGATATTTGGTATGTTAGCCTTGGTTCTTCTATTCAATGATTATAAAAAATAGTTAGATCTTTACAATTCCTTTAAGCACAAAGTTAGATCAATATCCATGACTCTGTTTTTCTGGAGTTCCAGTGCTTTTTCAAGGTGTTTCTACTAAGTCAACTCCTGTAACCTCCTGTGTAACCAATGGTCCGATTGTAATGCCATGTCTATGCTGTTTCTTTTCTCTTTGTATCTTTTTAACCACAGAGTCCTTTGGTAAGTGCTTCTGTTCCGAGGCCCACACCCTCACTGTCCACTTTTCTACATACTGTTCACTAATGTTGCTACTGTTGCTGCTGCTGCTGCTCACCTTTTACAATGTTTAGGTGTTATTAAAATGCATGGCATGCATTTTACTAACAGTCACACACAAAGATAATATGAAGCACAGATGCACACACAGACAGACATACAAGAAGTCCGCAGGCACCCATACATCAGTTTGGTTTCTAAAGATGCTACAAACTAGATACACACACACACACACATAGACATGAATACACACGAACAAACATATATCTCTGTCACCCTAGAGGTAGCTGGCCTCACCCTCACCTGTGCACCTGCAGCCTTTCCACACCCAAAGAATTACAACAACTTTCTCCTCACACTCACCTATTTACTTTCCCACTCCTTCACTTATTAAATTATTCTTTCCCTCACACACTCACTCACTCACTCTGTCATTCACTCACCCACTTACTCTCTCCGCTCTGCTGTATAGAGTTACCAGTCAATAAGCCATCAACTCTAGATGGCTGTTAGGTAGGCCTCTGGTGGAGCCACTGTAAGGAAATCAATGGCGACCAAGTTTCAGACTTGTACACGTTGACTGTTCAGTGTAGTATGTGCATATTAAACCAGGATTCTACTGCTTAGAAGTAATACACTGGTCATAGACACATGCAGTTTTTAACATCACTATAATAGAGTCAGAGAAGAAAAACCCACCCTTCAATACTTTTTAACTGTCATATGAATCACAATCAATCATTTCTTTGTTTACATTAACTCTAGTGAGTGATAACTTTGGTTTTCCCAGAATGCTTTGTGAAACCTTCCAGAGAATATGCCTGTGCAGGCATGTGTGTGATCACAGTAGCTCAGACGTTTTCCTGTGAGACAAATTAAGACTTGCTCCACTTTACAGCTAAAATGATTCAGTTCAATTATTTGATTAATCAAATGACACAAAATTAATTAGGAAATCTTTTTTTTTGATCAATTAATTATTTCAGTAATTTAAATTCTACAGTCTCTGGTTCCAGCTTCTCAAATATGGTTTTGCTGCTTTTTCTCAGTTTTTATCTCAGTGAACTGAATATCTAAGACAAGACAACAGACTGTTTTTCTAACATTTTATAGGCCAAATGATTCATTTATTTATCAAGAAATACTCAGCAGATCAGTCAGTAATGAAAATAATTGTTTTTTGCAGCCCTGAACCTCTTACAACATTTGTCGTGGTTGCATTGCATTCTGGTCTGTTGAGGCCCCTGCTGTCTCTTTTTTTTACACCAGACTTTTTACAGATTGTTGATGGTCGGTTTAAGATTTTGAGTCTACAAACACACCATCGCTCTTTGATTCTGAGGGGCCGAGACATGAACTTGACATTTACTGCTGATGTTTTATATTGTGGAAAATGTCCCTGCTGTCAGACTCAGTTGTAGTGTCACTGGAAGGATTTGGACTTGTTGTCCTATTGTTTAGCTTTTGACAGTTTAGAAAGCGAAACAACAAAAAATCAATATGAGTTTATGTACTGGAGGGTGGATTTTTCCTTTAGGAACAGATAAATATACTTACACGCCATCTTTTAGCAGGATTACACCTGGTTTTTGATCCAAGTGGTGGATAAAGTGCAGATTAAGATTCAGGGCAGTTTAGTGTACTTAGAGTACCAGTCCACCTCTTAGAGACCCAGACAAGTGCAGTGGAGACACTACCCCACTCCTACAGCCACATCTGCCCCTGCTGCAAGTCAATGAAGTCAAATCAATAACCCATCTCCTTATAGCTCTGTCACAGTCTGTCACTTTATCTATCTAGTATCTGTCTTTCTTTTCTCAGGCTTATTCTGTCTTTATTTATTCTGTCTTCTTTCTTTTATGCCTCTCTCTTCCTCTCACTCTCTAAGGATCTATATTTTGAGTCTTTTCACTCTAATTTGATTCTTCTCCTTTCCAAGTTACCTCCCCCCCACCCCCCCAAGTCCCTCCCTCCCTTATCCCCTTCTCCTCCTGTGGTACTAACATTTTCTTCTTCTTCTCCTTCTCTAATCTCGTGCATTCATTGCCCACTCAGGTGGCACGCCCATACGAGGTAAGACTGCTGGGAGGACCAACATGACACAGTGGCCTGATTCCTTTTCAACCCCTGGTTCCTACTTGTCTCACAGATCTGAAAAAGCAGCTCTGGGTGGATTATTCAATGTGGGTGTAGTCCAAAAGGACTCAGGACTATTGTCATATTGGTAATACTCATCCAGCTGCTTCAGATCTGCAGTAGGTGCAAGAGGAGGGAATTGGAATCGAGCAAACAATTCATATACTATGACTTTTAATCACCTCTCTCATCCTCTCTTCATCCTTTCATTTTTCCATCTCAGCCTCAACATTCACTCTATAACAGAAATCCATCGCTTCCTTCCTCACCATATTGTGATCTCTCTTTTGTATCCGTCAGTTTAACATCATTTAGCTTCTTACATCTACTTTGATTTCAGTCTAAAGCATGATGTGTTTACAACTTGTATTTATTTCTTCGTTGCTTAGTTTGAGGTGACAAAGCATACTATCACCTTTTACCTCTGTTTATTTGCTTTTTTAAATTTTTTTAAGATCGGATTTTTATTTTCTTTTTCTATTTTTGGGGGGTGGGAGAGGGGGGGGTCTTGACTTAAGCTTGACCTAGCCTCTCCTCCTACCTTGTCTATATTTGCCCAATCAAACGTCCCAGTTTTGTTTTCCCTCCCAGCTGTTATTCGCTCAGCCTGAAAAATCCAGATGGCAAAGACTCAGACACACTTGCAGACGTTAGAGTGCTCACACACACATATACACACAAACGTGCACACACACACACACACACACACACACATTTCTTCATGGTTTTTTACCATTACTTTCTCCTGTCTCTCTCATTAACGATAAAAAGCCCCAAACAACCACTTTTTTGATAAAGTTTTTATGGGCGCTTTTTTGCCTTACCACACCATCTTGAAAGAACCTCTGGTTGACTTTTTTGACAGTTTTTCTGTTTTCAGGGAGCGAGAAAGCGCCGGTCCCTTCCCAAAGGCTTTGCGTATGTCGTTCCTTTTTTTAATCTGTTGACCTTGATGGAGGTCGGTTGATGTCTTTACCTCCTTATTGGGTATGTTTTTAAAATGACATCACACTCCTGATCCCATTGGTGGATCCGAAAGGGATGGGGATATCTTATTGCCGTGGCAATATCTTTGTAACATTTTAACTGCATCTTAATTTTCAGCCAAGAATTTTCAAAATACTGGATTTGTGACTGGATTTCTCCACGTTTTGGTTGCTTGGTTTATTTGTTTCTGCCTTGCATGAAGACTACATTCTCCGTTTTTGTAGACTTTGTGTCAGTTTTTTGTTTTGGTTTTTGTTTTTGTTTTCTACCCATTTCTAAATCAGGAAGCTGACCCTTGTTTTGGGCAGATTCTTGCTGACAGTGGTAGAAACTTTCTAATTTCTCCCAATAGATTTGGCTCCCTTTTTATTCCTGTGTTCTTCACACAGAGTTCAGCTTGTTTTTGCTGAAAACTCCCTCAGACTCATTTCTCCCTTTATGCAGCTCTTACCATTTCTGTGTTGTGTTTATTCCTACGTATTTATGGACTATACCCAATTATCTGATGTCTTCCGCTTTTGTATAATTGCTCTTTTTTCCTCACTGTCTTTCTGTGACTCTCTCTCTCTCCTCTCTCTGTCTTCTACTCCTTCTCTCCATCCCTCCATCCATCCAGGTGCCCTCCAGATAGAGATGAGCGAGGAATCAGACCAGGGGAAGTATGAGTGTGTTGCCACCAACAGCGATGGGACACGCTATTCCACCCCAGCCAACCTCTATGTCAGAGGTAAGAGGGGGATAAAAATCAACCTGTCCTATGAGAACCAATTAGAGCACTTAGATTTAAGAATCACATTGATAATGGATGTGCAGAGTGGGACATCTATTCCTACGAGACATTCACAAGTTTTTTACACAGAAATCGTCTGCTAGTAATGTGCGTTTATCATATTAATGTGATATGATGCTATAAAACCCGCTGTGTTTTATAATTCTTTACTGTAATGCCATAAAACAGGATGGTTTTAAAATGAGAGCTCCTTTACATCAGTTAAGGCGGGACTGAATGTTTCACTCAGGCTATTAATCTCTCTGCCCTCCCTTCTTAGCCTTTAGACCTTAGAGAAAAACCAAATCATTGTCTGGTTAAGACTTGTGTTCCTCCCCAACTCTGACAGGCATCTCACCTCCTCAGGCGCCTCTCATCTCCTTCAACACACACATACAGATAGAGATTCACACACGCATACCCACTAAATGTTTGAATCTTGGAGACATTTTTATTCCTGTGGCCTTTTGCTCTGTTGTCTGCCTGCCAAAGAAGAGAAAAAAATAAATAAGTAGAGGCTTTAAACAGCGTAGCATGCTTTTCTGACTCCAACATTGCTCCAAGGGATTCGACACAAACACACACATACGACTGAATGCGCACACTTAAACACACATCTGTGTCCTACACTAAACTGTATATATAAACACACGTGCGCACACACACACACACACAGACACACACGAACAGCGCAGAGTCAGTGATGTGCGTCTAACAGTGCTTGCAGGGCCAGTAAAATCTTGCAGTGCTGCTCAGTGAGTGTTTGACAGGCGGTCTATGGAGACAGCCGGCAGTGGAGGCTGCCTTAAACAGGAAGGCTTTCAGCAACACACTGGCCATCTATGGCCTCTGTTTTCTCTCTATGCTCTCCTCATTTCTTTCTTTCGTTTTTCTCTTTGGCTTTGCCTCTGTCTGTTGCCACCTTGCCACGCTCTTTTATCTAACTTGTTTTCTCTCTCTGTGTCTCCTGTCTCTTCTCTGGTATTTTTTTTCCTCTCTTTTCTACCCCCACCCCTGCCCCCCCATCTGCCTCCTCCCGCCGTGCTCTGTCCTACCTCCCTCTGCAGAGCTGCGAGAAGGTTGGTACAGTAACGTCTGTGTGTGGCTCTTTTAAATCTCTCCCGAGTATTTTCTTTTCTTCCAATAAACTGCCATTTGTGTTTGTGTGTCTCAGCTGTTTTATGTGAGGCACTGAAGGTTTAAACCTGCCTGTACAGTTTACTCCTTTGAGATATACTGTACCCTGCATTCGTCTTTTCTCTTTTTTTCCCCCTGTGAGTGCATGTGTGTTTGCTGTGAGATTTTTTTGTGTGTGTTTCTGTTCATAAAATATTAAATGGAGCACACCTAAAAACACCATGAATAAAACATTTTGATATCACATGCATCCTAGTGGTGATGTACCAGACTGTCTGAATGCTTGCGGTCTACTTTGAATGCCATAAAACTTCATCTCATAGCACATTGAAACAACAAAAAAAATAATCAGTGTATAGACCCTGGGTGTTATCCACTGTTCTGCACTTTACTGAACAATACAGTCATGAATTACTAATCACCTCTCTTCCCCTGCCTTCCTGCTTTCATTGCTGTCTCGTCCAGTGCGTCGTGTCCCTCCTCGTTTCTCCATCCCCCCAGCGGACAGCGAGATAATGCCAGGGGGAAATGTCAATATCACCTGTGTGGCAGTGGGCTCCCCTATGCCGTACGTGAAGTGGATGCTAGGAGCAGAGGACCTGACACCCGAGGATGACATGCCCATCGGACGCAACGTCCTGGAACTGACTGACGTACGGCAGTCCAATAACTATACATGTGTCGCCATGTCAACGCTCGGCGTGATTGAGGCGGTGGCACAGATCATTGTAAAAGGTGGGTTTATCAGCGTGTATATGAGGAGGCTTATGGGTGAGGAAAAGACAGCGTGTGATTAAAAGAGGAAGTGATGGTTTGACCTTGCCGCCTGTGAGTCCTTTTTAAGAGGACAAAACCACAGTGTAGCCTTCTTCTCTCCGGGAATGAGGAAGATTTACATCACAAAAGCAATGTAAATTCAGAGTAGCAAACAAAGTAACTCCCTCAGCTCTGTTTTTTATATATGCAAAACATATTTATATTAACATTAATGTATTATATTAATTATATATACATATATATTCAGAATTCAGAAGAAGAAAGAAGGACAGTTGTTATTTATTACTGTATGTGAAAGTCTGTATTCAAACATGTCAGTAGAGGAGTTTTACAGGTGTTGAAACAGTCTTTGAATTAATTACAACCTATCATAACAAATTGCTGATCAGATTATTTCCTTAATTGTAAAGGGATAGTGTGTAAGATCCCTCTCTCTTTCTCTCTCTCTCAGCTCTGCCGAAGGCTCCTGGTACCCCTGTGGTGACGGAGAGAACTGCAACAAGCATTACACTCACCTGGGATTCTGGCAACCCCGAGCCTGTTTCCTACTATATTATACAGGTGTGTAACAGACACAGAAGCTTTACTGAATGCACTAACAGGTTTTTTGAGACACAGAACTTAAGATGGCTAAAGCAGCACTACATTTTTATATGAACATAAACTGTTATTAACATCCTAAGTCAGTAAGTAGGGCTGCAAAAAAAAAAAGTTCCTCGTCTCTCCTGATAGTGATAAAAATCTCCAAACTGCTCCAAATTAAATCTGGTGTCTTATGAGTACTATCTGCCCACAAGTAGTAATGAATTGAAATGTTAAGAATGAAACACAAATTACTGCACTGAAGACATGACAGAATACTTACACAAAGAAGGACAGCTAAATGAGATATTCTGTATTCATTCTGTATGTTTTGGCATAAATCTTATGGTTGGTTAATAGGAGCAAGGTTTTGCTTCTATGTATTGATATATATACTTTTGCAGCTTTAAATCATTGTATTCTTCCTCTCCCAGCACCGTGCCAAAGGGTCAGAAGACCCCTATAAAGAGATTGATGGCATCGCTACAACGCGCTACAGTGTGGGCGGCCTCAGCCCGTACTCCCACTATGACTTTCGGGTGGCCGCAGTTAACACGATTGGCCAGGGCCCCTCCAGCGAGGTCGTGGAGGCACGCACAGCTGAGCAGGCCCCCTCCTCGCCTCCTCGACAGGTCAGGGTTTGACTAGACAACGCATGAAATGTTTTTTTTACAGCGATATTGCATCCATCAATTCGAAGTAAAAATGTGATATTCAAGGATGCAATTTTGATCCTGTATGAAAAACTATTTGATTTTAATGCAGTTTCAATCTATTATTACTGTTTCTCTTAGAATAACTACACCTCAAGCTTGGTAGTTATACAGCACGGGTTCTGTCTCACATTAAAGTGTGTGACATAAATCTTGCTTTCAGCCTTTAGTTTACAAAGAACTAACCCAACTTTTTCTACTAAACTTGTGAAATTACAGTACATTTTATCCCAACGCAGTGTTACCGAAGTTCATCCTATTTGCCCTGCAGGTCAGAGGTCGTATGCTGAGCACCACAACAGCAATCATCCACTGGGATGAACCAGAGGAACCTAACGGACAGGTGGTGGGCTACAGAGTGTACTACACCTCAGACAACACACTGCCAGTCAACCAGGTGTGTGTAACTGTGTGTGCTTAGTTTCATTTTGTAGTTACTTTTATTAATCACAGCTGACTGTTAACTTGTCTGCATATGTGTAATACATGAGTGGGCATCTGTGTGTCTACTTGCATTCATGCTTTGTGTTCTGTGCTTGTGTTGTGCAGTGGGAGAAGCAGATGGTGCGCAGTGCCAACTTCATAACCATCCAGGGGTTGACTCCTAACAAGACTTATTATATCAGAGTGCTGGCCTTCACCTCTGTGGGAGACGGACCCCTGTCCCAGGACCTGCAGATTATAGCCAAGACTGGAGGTAAGAGACGGGGGGCAGGAGAGGAATGTCGTGTTCATGCTTGTGGGCACATAGTACACAAAACCTTGTTAATGAATAAAATAATATCTTAACTTTGTTTAACAAATCCTGTTTTTCCTCAACTCTGCAGTACCATCCCAACCTTCTGAATTTAAGGGTGAGGCCAAGTCTGAGACCAGTATCCTGTTGTCCTGGGTGGCCCCACCCCAGGGTGGTCCCGACAACCAGATCACAGGATATGAACTGGTCTACCGCCGAGCTGACGACACAGAGGAGGTAAGGGTTTTGGTTTATAGATATTAACTACTTTATTTGGTTAAATTATTTTATCATATTTTGTTAAATTTGTGTTTTTTATTTTATCAGATATTATTATAATATTTTTTTTGCCAGACTAATTAATTCATGGAGGGAGATCAATTGACCTCATTATTAAAAGTGATTTCCATAAAAGTCTTTTAAGGGATGTTCTTTTTGAACACTAGTAGTTAATACAACATTTTCTTTTGTTTTTCTCACAACCTTCCAATCTTCCACTGTCTCGTTGTCTTCATGTCCTTTCAGAAGAAAGTGAGCTTTGAGCCTACTACCTCCTACCTGTTGAAGAACCTCAAGCCTTTCTCCACCTACACCTTCCAGTTGGCTGCCAGGAGCAAGCATGGAATTGGGGCGTATACCAACGAAGTGTCCATCGACACACCACAGACGCGTAGGTCCAACCACAAATACCGCTGTGTGTGAACGCGTGTGAGTGTGTTTGAAAGAGAGAGAGGTTTCTATTTTGACAATGCAAAAATGAAAACTGACACAAAAACCGAACCATGAAGTGGAAATGAACCTGACCATCATAATTTGTATGTGACTAACAGTATTTGATAAGACATTTGGCAGTTGTTGCTTTTTTGTATTGTCAAAAAGGGGCCATCATGAATCCAGACCATAACTGACCTCAGATTTGGTATTTCAACAAATATATCATTAAATAGCTAATTTACGATTCTCAGAATTTAACTCCACGCATGGTATTTTCAGCATATATAGCACAAAACAACTTATGGATAATAGACAGCAAAGAAACATTACTTAATTTGTTGGCTACCAATCTGAGGTCTGTAAGAGTATCAGTTAAAAACAAGGTAAGAAGCCAGAGGTTTGTAGATAGCGATGAACTCCATCTTGGATCACAGAGGCTTGGGTAGGCTGTAAGGACAAGTAAGTTATGGGCAGGTATGTTTGTGTGTTGAAGCTCTAGTCAGTGTTTTTGTGTCGCATCTCTTTTAAGTCATTCACTCGTTTTCATTTATCGAACATTTCTACCAAACAGAAGTTTACGCCCATCATTCAGTTTATTTTTTCAGCCATCTTGCTTTCTAGTCACAGGATCATTTTTCGTAAAAGCTTCTGTTCTCCAGTGTTTTGTTTTCATTTTATGTTTCTTTGTCTTTTGTTCTCTGTCTCTCGTCTGCTCAATTTCATCCCCATTCCTTCACGGCAAACCTCACTTCCTCACCTCTCCACCCACCAATAACAACTCGCACCACACGACCAAATAACATTTACCCAAACAACCCCTACTGTGCTTCCTCAAATACTGGCCAATCAGTTCCTTCAGCACCTCCCCAGGACATCACATGCACCAGTCCCAGTTCTACCAGCATCCTGGTAAGTTGGGCTCCACCTCCTCTGGAGTTTCAGAATGGCGTCATTACGGGATACTCCATCCAGTACTCCACAACAGAGGGCAACAAGATGACTAAAAGAATAGATGGAATTCCTCCAGAAAGTTCTCCGTATCGCCTGGAAAATCTAGAGAAATGGACTGAGTATGGCATAACGATACGGGCGCAGACGGAGGCTGGGGATGGACCTGAAAGTTTACAGCTGCTTATCCGCACCGAGGAAGATGGTATGTTCCCAAACAAACCCCCTGCCTGTCTTAGGATGGTCCATCCCACTAACAATGGCAACCTCACTAACATAGCAGTAATGCGCTCAAAGCACCCTAAACTAACAAGTTTCTTCCACTGGCCAGTAACAGCATTTTGTCTATCCTTGAGCTGCAATCTAAACGGATGATGATGCATTTAAGAACCACTGTCAGACCCTCCAGTTTTGAAAAAAACCTCTCCTTTATTCCTTCTACCAGAAACCTCCGGAAATCTCCTCCTGCTATACTCCCTCACCACTGCTTTCTCTTGTAAACAGCAACCCTTTTTTCTTAAGAAGTCATTTGTATCCCCCTTTTTACCAGCATCTTTTTTCCGCACTTTCCCCTTTCTTCTAAAATCCCCCATTTTCTTTATTTTTTATTTTTTGGGAAAAGGGATGGTTGGGATTTCCCACTATATTCCTCTCTAACAGTACCAAAACAAACCCTTTGGCTGTACCTTGGCCTTCCCACACCTTGGCTTCTCTCACTGCCCTTCCAACTCCTCTCCAGTACTTCATTTGCATAATTCAAGCTAACTTTCAGCAACGTATTTCATTGTGACTAGAGTAATTTGTAATATTATCAGCAATATTTTTTATATTAATGCTTAACATTACATACATTTTTCTGACTTCAGCTTTCTTTAGAGTGCTTATGCATAGGCCAGATAGCAAGAGGTGGCTGGAGTGGGTTTTTTTTCCCTTTCAGTATTATACTGTATATATTTTTTTGTCGTTTTTGGCAGTACGAGAGAGGTTTTTCTTGATAACAGTATTTTCTCTTTGACGGCTTGCCACTGTTTATCTGCCCATGGCAACAAATCCTTTTCTATCTGCCATTCTTATCTTTCTCTGCATTTGCTTCTTATCCTCCACTGCTTTTTTCCTCCATGTTTTTCCTCCAGCACTCTCATTTTTTACTATTTTGACTTTTTTCCCAGACATCAGAGCAGTTTTAGACTTTTTGGAGTTGTATTTTTGGGGTTGTATTTTTAAATTTTTTCAGCTTTTGGGTGTTTTTTTTATCTGCCCCTGAAATCAATATATTTTTGATTAGATAAAAGACTTGTTTCACTAAAGTGAAGGCCTTAACTTGAGAGGTTTGAGTGCCCATCATCTGTGACCCTTGACCTCTATCCCAAAATGCATTTTTAGTTCCAAGTGGTCCTCCGCGAGGGGTGGAGGCAGAGACTGTGAACGCCTCGGCCGTTAGGGTGAAATGGCGAGCACCAGCGCCAGAACGGCAGCATGGTCAGATCCGGGGCTACCAAGTCCACTATGTGAGGATGAACTACGGTGAACCTCAGGGTCAGCCCTTCATCAAGGACATCCTCATAGAGGACTCTCAGGTAACACTAACATATACTGTCTAACACCTTATGATCAAGTGAACTGTCAGGAACTATTTTATGAATGGCTAATAAAAGCATTATTGCTATAATACAATAATATTTATTGTAAATTATTACATAAAGTTCATAGTTTAACTAAAGCCATGAAGAAATAATGATCTCCCCCAACACATCTATTTATCTGAATATATTCTACAAGCAAGAGCATCTGGCGATGTATTACTGTCGATAAGATAAACATTTTGCCAGATTTTGTTTTCCTATTCGTCTGTTCTACTGCACAATCCACAAATCTGTTACAGCGTCTGTATCCACTTCCTCTGTGACACCTGAGTGTATTAAGAATATTTACGAATGATCCCAGTTTTTGCAGGATGTTAGATGAGAAGATCCAATACCACTCTCCCGTTAAGTATAAGCTACAGTCAAGAGATGGTTAGCTTAGCTTAGCATAAAGATTGGAAAAGGCAGACATTGGTCCAGTCCAAGTGGTATCTATCTCCTCATCTAACTCAAGTAAAAACAAACAACTAAGAATATTTCCCATAATGTCAAACTATTACTTTGAAATGAATAGAATCTGGCCTTCACATGATACAAATATATATATATATATATATATATATATATATATAATATTTGTCCAATTTTAAAGTTTTACTACATTTTCTTCCTGGAAT